CCCAATTGTGAGTTAAGCATCATGAATTACATATCTCGTGATTGCTATGGCCAGTTTGGTGAATGATTACCAAGCAGCCACAGTGCATGGTTCTCCATTGAGAAATTCTCCATATCGAATAGCAAGGACACGTTCACTGCTATCGGTTGTGACACATCGGGATCTGTCCAAATAACTAATAAACACAGTTCTGTGGTAGTTGCAAGTGGGTGTCAGTCAAAATGTAGCAACATCGACAGCGTTCCTAACGATGGATCTTGCCTTGAAATTGGTTGTTGCCAGACCTCCATACCAAAAGGATTTGGCAAGATCAAAATTTATGCAAATAGTTTCTCCAAACATACGGGTGTAACCGACTTCAATCCCTGCAGCCATGCCTTTGTTATTGAAGAATGTGAGCTTAATTTCTCCACAACTTACCTTAAAAAATTTAAAGAAAACATGGTGCCAGTGGTGCCGGACTGGGGAATAGGGAATGGTAAGACATGCGAAGAAGCTAAAAGAAATACTAGAAGATGTTGGTGGGTATATCTGCAAGTGCTCGTCCGGTTACAAAGGGAACCCCTACCTGTCAGATGGTTGCCGAGGTTGGTATACTATCCATTACCTATATATAGCTTCATTCATCATGTTTGGTTTCAATTCATAATTCATATAATTTTGATTCTATACATATATTTGTTATGATGCTTTCGGGATAAGAAGGGCCTTCCTCTCTGTTTGGTTTTAATTAATTGTTTTTTGAATATAGACATAAATAAGTGTGAAGATCCATCTCTCAACAAGTGTGAACATATAAGCAAATGTGATAACATAGAAGGGAATTATACATGCGTTTGCCCCTTGGGATCCCACGATGATGGCAGAGTAGATGGAAATGGTTGCACTGCTAATCAATTTCCAGTGATTAAGATTATGATTGGTAAGTCTATACATCAGTGAGAAAATAATAAGAAGTTTTGTTTAGTTTTTCAAAATTGTATTTTAATTTTTTGTTTTTAGTGTTTTATCATCTTTAGTTTAAAAACAAAAAAAAAACATATTTTCATCATTTTTTTTTTTTTTGAACTTTTATATCCACCAAATTTAGATGTCATTAAATAGAGACATTCATGCTAGATGTCCATTTTTGAAATTGTTGGGCCTAAGCTTACATTTTTTTGGGGATCAAAATGACATTATTTGTTCAAAGGACACTATATGTTCAAAAGCTTACCTTTGTGTTTATCTTTTCAAATGTCACATATCTGTGCACGTGTTACTTACCTGTCTAACTATCACTTCAAATGTCTCACTATTTATTCATTATTCAAATGTGTACATGTGTCACCTATCTGTTCAATGTCACCTATCTGTCCTCTCACTGTCACTAGTTGCCGGCCACTACCAACTTTTCTAGTGACTGTTCAACGTGTGTTCTTCTCATCACATAAGATTAATTCTTAGATCTAATGCTTAACATACTCCTCAAATTGGATTTACCGGCAATTTTTTCTATACAAAGTAAATTATTTGTAAAAAAAAAAAAAAATCTATAAAAAATAATAAATAAATACAAAAAATATGAAAACGTATTGAATTTTTAATATGTAGTGAATTTCTAAAACAATCACGAATATTTTACTTTTTTAATGTATCTAAATTATGTGATTTGAAAATACAAAAATTAGATTGAAATATTTAAAAAATTTGCTAAAACTACAAAAAGAAAAAAAAGAAGAAAAACTCAAAAAAAATATTTAAAAAATTTGCTAAAACTACAAAAAGAAAAAAAAGAAGAAAAACTCAAAAAAAAAAATTTGACTCTAAAAACTGAAAAAAGAAGACAGTATAGAACACCTAATTCATATAGGTACCATATGGCAATGTATACAATTTATTATTTTTTATTTAAGGAAAATATCAAACATTTTACGATTATTTTTGATAAAATGTAAACAAAAAAAAGGTCTAGTGCACATGTATTTTTATTTTTTTATTTTTTTTGAAAACAAGTGAAAGAAGTGTTCGGTAGAAGAAGGTGGTCTAAGGTGATTGTCAACAATCAAAGATGGTAGTTAGAAATGGTTGTCGACAAATAGTGAGAGATGGTTAATGGTGGCTGATGGTCGAAGATGGTGGCCAAAGATGGATTCCGATAAGAGGATGGTAGTCAAAGGTGGTAGCCAATCAGAAGTGGTTGGAGGCAACTAGAGGTGGTTGTTAACTGTAGGAGGTGGTGGCTAGAGTTCATTGTTGGAGGACGTCACTAGTGATGATGGCTTGAGATGGGGTGATTGGTAGTGCTGACGAGCGACGAGTAATGGTTGGAGAGGGTGGGAGAGGGAGAAATGAATGATTTTTTTTTTTTTTTGGCTAAACAAGTAAAATTAATTTTTTTTTTATTACAAGATTTTAATAATTTTATATATTATTTACATATTTTTTGAAATGCAGGTTTCATCATTGGTGGAGCAGTTGATATTGGAATTGGGACCGGAGAGATCAACTTAGGAAGTGATCAAAATGTTTACTTCAGAAGATCTCAAGAAGGCTACCAACTACTATGATGAAAGCAAAATCGTTGGTCGAGGAGGTAATGGGATAGTTTACAAGGGAACTCTAGGAGATAAGAGGAGATAAGAGGATTGTGGCCATCAGGAAGTCCAAAGTGGTGGATGAAAGTCAAGTAGAGCAATTTATCAATGAGATTGTTGTGCTTTCACAGATTAATCACCCGAATGTTGTAAAACTTGTGGGTTGTTGTTTGGACACTCAAATCCCCTTGCTTGTCTACGAATTCATCACCAATGGTACTCTGTTTGACCATATACACAATAAACATGATATTTCATGGCAAATCCGCCTGCAAATAGCTATAGAAACCGCTGGTGCATTGTCACATTTGCACTCTGACGTAAAGCCTCTGTTCCTATCATCCATAGAGATGTCAAGACTACAAACATACTCTTGGATGGTAATTACACCACAAAACTATCTGACTTTCGAGCATCAAGGTTGGTTCCAAAAGACAAAATTCAATTTGCCACAGTGATTCAAGGAACTCTAGGATACTTGGACCCTGAATACTTGCAAACGAGCCAATTAACAGAGAAAAGCGATGTTTATAGCTTTGAAGTAGTCCTTGCGGAGTTAGTCACCGGAAAGAAGGCGTTGGCATTTGATAGGCCTGAGGAGGAGAGATGTCTAGCCACTTATTTTCTTTCTTCTCTGAAAACTGATCGCTTGAACCAAGCTATTGATAAACACATAGAAAATGTGGGAGAGACTGTTGAGCAGCTCAAAAAAGTGGCCGATATTGCAGAGAGATGCTTGAAATTGAAAATGGAGGAGAGACCTACTATGAAGGATGTAGCAATGGAATTGGAGAGGTTGATCATGAAAAAGATGGGGAATAAGCATCCACAGGTTGAAACTAACATTGATGTGATTTCTGAAGAGACTGAGAGGACTTGCTTGGTCAGAAGAAGTCAAGTGGGTATGAGTTTGAAGGTTGTAGTAGCAACACTACAACAACTGAGTGATGAGAACATACAATACTGCCATTGAATGATGGGAGGCGATTGTTTTGTGCTTGTCCACATCTTGGTTGATAGATTGCTACTACTGTCTTGTGTGCTTTGTTTTAAGTTAAGTTGTTTTAATGCCTAGAAGAGATGTATTCCTTCTAGTTTTATTCTACTTTCTTATGTAATTTGTCATTTACTCTTCATGATATATGTATATATCTGTGTTATCTTTAGTTTTTGTGGCTGAGGGAGACTCTGTTCTCTTCCTAGCACAAATAAAATGTAAAGTGGAAGGAAAGTGAAGACCTGTTTGTATTCAGTTTCTTCTTATTCTCTTCCTAGCAAAAATAAAATGTAAAATAGAAGGAAAGTGAAGACATGTTTGTATTCAATTTCTTCTTCTCAATAATTTATTACTGAATTTCAAGTCTCCATTTGTTTAATGACAATCTCATTGTTACAAAAACTAGGTAAATACCATTTCTACGAGACTGCACCTCTGTTATAAGAAAAGTTACCAATTATTATGGTATAGTTATGAAAGGATACACTATATAAAAAAAAAAATGTTAGTTACGAATTGTTTTGGCTATATTATATACATTTAAAAATATACAATTTGTTGTGACTATCACTGCAAGAAAATCGGGAATTAGCGGTGTTTTTTAAAATGCCGCAAAGACTGGGGTGCATAACCACAAATTGATGTAATTTTACTAAAAAAATTAGCAACATCAACTACGAAATGCGTAATCTTGTTACAAATTGACATAACAAAAAATGTCGTAACAAAGTCATAACTTCTGTTACATGAACCACAAAATTTTAGACATTTTCTTATGGTAATTTGTGGTGAGATTACATACAACATGCACCCCTAAGAGGGGGACACCATAGGCTTTCCCATCAAAACATACAACATGCACATTTTTAGGAGTATGCATAATGAAATTTCCTTTAGATAAAAGACATGACATCTAGGGGTTTTCACTATCAAAATGCAACTAGGGGATTCCATTGGAATTAATTACCCACTAGGATTATTTTTTCTCTTACTAGGTTAGTTTAATAGACTACTCTTTTACATTTTTAACTATGAAGTCAGATATCACTCATTGCCAAATATATGTATATATATATATATATTTTTCTTTCCATTATGCAACTCTTTGTTAAATTGAGTTTAATTATTTCCTCTCATTATGACTTTTAGATGGGTTCCTTATTGGTGTAGGTTGTAGGACATAGATATGTGTTGTTAAAAATTACCCCCAAAAATCTTGTCATTGCATTTGTAATAATCAAACAACCAAGAATTTGTTGTGGATAGATTTCACCTCGTCGGGGTTAGGCCAGTGGCCATAACCCCGTGTGCCTCATAGGAAGACATGAGTTTGACTCCCTCCTTCCCCTTCAATGTACATAAAATATGTAGTTTTATTTGGGAAAATGCCCAAACTTCCAATAGATAAATAATATATCTTCAACATATATGGAGAAAATGAAATATATTAAAAATGGTACCGTATACGGCACCAAATGCTTCCGTATCCTGTTTTCTGTTGAAGTTACAAAAAAATTGGTACAAAACGGTGGTCTATTTTGAAACAAAGTTTACACATTAATGACTAGCGTCCACCATCTAATGCCACAGACATTTGGTCCCTCATGCTATCATACCCGGCACTAGTACTACTACCAGCATTGCCACCACCAAAGCCACCATAGTAACCATCTGAAGCTTCATTTTGATTCAGCAACTGCTTAATCTCTTCAGGATACAAATCTACACCTTCCCATGGAGGCTGCTTCTTTATTCTCATACCATCTAGTTCCATTGCTGCTTCCTTCATACTAGGCCTTTCCTCTGCTTTTACTCTTAAGCACCTCTTTGCAAGCTTAGCCACTTCCTTGATCTGTTCTAATTTTCCCTCATTCACAATTCTACGCTCGAGAATGTGAAAAAGGCGATCCTCTTTCATCGCTGAAATGAAATATGTTGCCAGGTTTCTATCTTTCTCAGGCCTGTCGAAAGAAAGTGCTTTTTTTCCGGTCAGTAGCTCTGCAAGGACAACTCCAAAGCTATAAACATCACTCTTCTCAGTCAATTGGCTTGAATGGAAATATTCAGGGTCCAAGTATCCAAATGTCCCTTGCACCAATGTAGCCAGTTGAGAGTGGTCCAAGGGGACTAATCTTGAAGCTCCAAAGTCAGCCACTTTTGCAGTGTAGTTATCATCTAATAGAAGGTTTGTAGTTTTAATGTCCCTATGGATTATTGGGGTAGAAGTAGCAGAGTGCAAGTATGCTAGTGCTCCGGCAGTTTCAGCTGCTATCTTCAGGCGCATTTCCCACGTAAGAAAGGATGCACGGCTGTCATCATGAATATGTTCGGAGAGTGTTCCATTTGTGATGAATTCATAGACTAGTAAAGGGACTTCTGTTTCCAAACAACAGCCCAACAGCTTCACCACATTTCTATGGTTGATTTGTGCAAGGACAATCACTTCATTAATGAACTGATCAATCTGGTTTTGATCACTTATTTTGGATTTCTTAATGGCAACAACTCTGTGATCTGGTAATACTCCTCTGTATACTGTTCCAAAGCCTCCTCGACCTATGACTTCACTTTCATCGTAGTTGTTTGTAGCCTTCTTGAGATCTTCTGCGGTAAAGATGGTTGCTGTTTCGACTGACCTTTCGTGTTTTGAGAGCTGTTGTTGTAACATTAAGCCACCATTTTGTTGAAAGAATTTTTCTCTGAGCTTCATGTGCTTTCTTTTCCTGAGAATCCAATATATCCAAGAACTCCCCAGAAATAAAGATAAAAGTCCCAAGCTTAAACCTGCATATAAGTCACCCCTTAACATCATTGCCAAGTAGAAAGGCTTTAATGTTCTATTTCTCAATTTTGAAATAAAACATTATGTAATACATTCAGAAGTAAATTAGAACTAGTTTACCCCTGGTTACTTACTAATGGGAATGAAAATTATGGGCAAAGAAATTATTGACTAGCTTATCAATCTGCAAAATGCCTGATGTAGTCTCTGAGCCAAGAGACAAATGAACAAGAAATGCTAATTAATGACTTTTTGCCAAGTCAGTGATTAAAAGTCTACTACTGTGACATCCCTAATATTAGCCTCCACTAAATTTAATTCTTAAATATTGCTACCATCCCTTGTTCTTATCACTCAGAAAAGAATGTTCTAGGCTTGTTTCAATGATCAAGTCAGAATAAAATGAGGGACGTATGTCCATGGACCAAACTGATTATTTAGATATGTTAAATTATGTTGTGTTGTGCTTGTATTCTTAAAGCTTATTGGAATCAAATACTAACCGAGACCAACAGCAAGTACGGTAGATCCTCTGGTCTGAGGGTTATGATGACAACCTGTTCCATTTTTCATTCCATCACCTTCGTAATCCTTTGGGCAAGAACATGAGAAACTTCCCGGTAAATTCATGCATGTACCTTTGCAGGGTTGTGAAACTTCACATTCATTGATATCTGGAATTTACAAAAAATAAAAATAAAATAAAAAACAAAATAAAAAAATTAAACAGAAATGATCAATCATGCTCAATTAGCAAGTGCCATTAACAGGAGAAGTAAATAACATATGAATGACAAACATTCTTAAATAAGATCATATATTTGTACCTTGGCAACCATCAATGACGTAAGGATTCCCTTGATAACCTAATGAGCATCTACAAAGATAACCCGGGCCATTGCTCGCATTGTAACATTCACTATTCATCGCTTTACAAGCATAGCTTGATATGTTTGCTAAAGCTTCTTGGCATGTCTGATTTCCTACTGCCCAATCTAGCACGACAGGGACGGTCTCTCTGCTTTGTAAATCCTTGAGATCTAAAGTTGAAAAGTTGAAAGCATCTTCTTCAACTACAAAAGCATAACCACACGGATTGAAGTCCAATACCTGGGAATGGTTTTTTAAGCTGCCTACAGAGACTGCAAAATCTCTTGCTTCCTTTGGTATGGAGTTCTTGCAACACCCAATACCAGAACAAGTTCCATTTTCTACACTATCCAAACCATTACATAGCGATACACATGCAGTAGCATAGTTCTGTCCTCTGGAACCCTCCACCACTGCAACTGTGTCGCAGCCAACAGCTACGAACTTGTTATGTGTACTGGAGATGAAAAAATTTGGCAATGTGAGACTTGCTGTGACATCGATAATAGCACCAGACTTGTTGAAACAGTCTCGTGCCACAAAGGATGAAACACTCATGAGGCCATCAAGCGATAAGTTAAGTACTTCCAGATTACTTTGCCATAAGAACGGTTTGGGAGGATTGTAATCTGTGCTGTTGCAAGTGATGAGAAACGAATCATCAAGGTAACAGTCGGGGCTCGTGCCAAATGGAAAGGGGATGTTAAGGTTGCCACAGCTACCTGAGCAATCTGGCTTTGACAGAGATGCTACTGGTGCTAATATTGCTCCAACCACTGTGAGTTGAAAGAGAAATCCATGAAAATCCATAGATTTCTTGTTCTCTAACTAATTGAATTGGTTGGTCTTTTAAAGGGAACAAGATTGAAAGGTGAGTAAACAATGAGCTCAAGAGAGACAGGGTCCTCCAATCTATATTATAATCTAGTGTGAAAAAAGCTAGCCATGCTGAATAAGATACCTTGCCACAATAGAACAAGTCATTAAACACTCATTTGACAATGTCTATTAAATCATGTGACAAAAATCAAAAAAAAAAAAAAAAAAAAAAAAAAACAAAAAAGACATCATTCATTTGACGATTGAGGCAAATAGCCAATCAAACTACGAAACATGAAGGCATGGAAACTATACACTTATTAGAATCTGTTTAGTAACCATTTTGTTTTTAATTTATTTTTAATATTTATAAAAAATAATTAAAATATTAGCATAAAAGTTTATTTGGTAAATTTTTTGATTTATATGTAAAAATTAAAAATTAATCTCATTATTTTATTTTTTCTCTCACAAAAATAAAATAAAAAAACTAAAAAATCAAACCAAACAAACTTTTAATCACAAGTAAAAAAAGTCAATTATCAAACGGCAACTCAATTTATAATTAAGGTTCAAAAACATAAACACAAAAAAGACAACAAAAAAAGAAAACAAAATTGGGAATCATTTGAGTTGGTTTGGGGTAGGGGTGCAACTCGGGCGCGTTCGGTCGGGTTGGAAGTTGTCCAAGCCCAGCCCAAATTGTGCTGAGACCTACCCAGGCCCGTCCAGGTCCAAATTGTAACTGTAACAACTCGAAAATTTAAGTTGCCCCTTAAATTTTATACTAGTATTATGGTTGTATGTGATAATATATTATTAAATAAATAATAATAAATACAGAATCTAATTTGGCATTGCAAATAATTTATATAATGTAAGAGATATGCAACTATAGTAGTTTTTACAATTTATGAGTGAGAATAAAAAAAGTAAGATTTTTTGTTATTTGTATATACAATATATATTCAATATGATTTAATAATCTAAATTACTTTAATATCATGTAATAGCTAATAATTTATATTTATATTTAATATTTTTTTATATCTATATATGTATAATTCGGATTTCGGATTGCTCGGGTTATTTGACATCTTTGCCCAAGTCCGCCCAAATTTAATTCGGGCTTCTAAATTTTTACCCAAGCCCGTACCAAATTTAAAAATATTTTGTTCAAGTCCTAAAAAAATTCAAACTAAACTCGGATTACTCGGGTTGAACCCGCCCACGTTGCAGCCTAGTTTGGGGTTCGAAACTAGGTAGATGTTCAATTACCCATTATTTCAACGTCTTCATCAACGGTTTAAAAAAGCAGCAGTGCTACAGACCCCCAGTGGGATGACCCCCAGTGACCCAGTGCCACGTGTCGGCCTGGGATTGGCTGAAACTCAAAAAAAAAAAAAAAAAAAAAAACTTTTTGGACCAATGGGAGGGGACCCAGTACCCCACTGGGGTCCAAAGCTTTATTCTTAAAAAAGAAAAAAAAAAACTCTGGATCTTGAATCGCGTCTCTCTCTCTCTCTCTCTCATCAAACTCAGGTATCTATCTTCTCTCTCCTTTCTCTCTCTGCTCTCCTCCGGGCCGGCGGCCCGAAGAACTGGTGGGTTCGGAAAATCCCAGTTTTCCGGCGGTCGGGTTTCTGCTTGGTCTCCGTGGTTTTCTTCTTCGTCTTCGTGGGGGGTTTTGGTTGGTGGGACTAGGGCTTAGATTGTCTGTGGTGGTTGTATTGTCTAGGGAATCTTGCTCTCGTTTGGATCCTCCAAAGCCTGTTCAATCCACCATTGTCATCGTCTGTAAGGGTTCGCATCGGGTTCATCGTCACATTCCCGGCCCACCACCGGTTCGCCATGTCTTCAACAAAACCCTCACATTATTTCTGATTAACCAACAACTCTTCTTTCTCTCTCTATTTGAGGAAACCAAACTGTGAATCTTGAATGCAGCAACCTAGCTCTCTTTCTTTCTTCACATTGGGCTAAAATCAATTGGAGATTATGCATTAAAATTAACCAACATGTTTTTGAGTTTTTACTTCAAAATTTCTTAAACATTTTGTTCAACAAACGTGTTTGTAATTTTTTTTTTTTTAAATAAATAAAAATTAATTTAAAACTTTTTTTTTAATTAACATAAACACATTTATGAAATTAATTTAAAATTGTACACTTTTGCTTACAAGAGCAAAGACATCATATGCAGCTGCAAGTCAATAATCAACTTGAGAAAAACATAAATTACAACATATTTTCTTCTTACAAGAGCAAAGACATCATATGCAGCTGCAAGTCAATAATCAACTTGAGAAAAACATAAATTACAACATATTTTCTTCTTCTTTGAATGATTCTTCTAGCACAAGTCCAAAACATTTTCAACAGGTTTATTCAATACTATAAACTATTGCTAACTAATCTATGGCAATTCAATTTCACATTAACTAGTCAAAATTTGCATTCAAAATTTGTCAATACTAAACGACGAAGAAATATGTCAATACTAAACGACGAAGAAATGGTATAAATTTGTCTACAAATCTAACTCAAGAAGTATATATATATATATATCTAATGATCTAATTCGTTTATATTTGAATTGAATAAGATGGTCCAGTAAGATTATGCGTAAATTTAGTAACAAGGCCGGCTCATGCCAAGTAATGATATAGAGCTCTAGAGGAGCAGCTCTAAAAGCAGATCTACACTGACAAGCAAAAAAGAAAAAAAAAAGGAAAGAAAAATACGAATTATAGTGGGAAAAAAAGACAAATTAGAACTCTTTTAGACCTGTTCTTTTAGAGTTCTAAAATATTTTTTGGTTCATGCCTAAGCAAAATGATGCACTTTCTTTAGGCCCCAACCTTCATTGGCTTGTATAGAATGCCCCAATTTAAATACATGTTCTTGTATATCTAATAAAATAATAGTGTTCTTACAAAAAGCAAAAAAAACAAGGCCCTTATAACTAGCACTATACCAGGCCTTAGAGCATCTTTAATGATTGTTACTATAAATCGTTTCTATTGTTATAATTTGATAATGAATAGTATTATTTTACCAAATTATAATAGTGGTGCTCCAATAGTCATTTGTTATTTTGACAAATCTCAACCAACTTTCCCTCCAAGTTTGTAGGTGTTGTTTGGATATAAGTTTTTTAGTAATTTTTTTATTTTATTTTTTATTTTTTGTCTTTAGTGACATTTTTTTAATTGTTTCTAAAAAATATAAATATTTACATTATTCCCGGCTAGACAAATATAAAAAAATATAAAAAAATTGAAAAATTGAAGAAAATAATTAAATATAATTCACTCCACCAAAATTCACTACCAAAAAAAAATTTTTTTTTTTTCAATTGGTGTTTGTATTTATTTTTATTTTTTTTGTTTTTTTAGTCAAACCAAGCCCAACAGCTTTGTCTTGTTTCATCACCACCGTCAACGTGCAAATCATCAACGGTTGAGATGATTTATGCAGAATCATCCGATCTTTATTCCTCTCCATCTCACTCTCTCACCATTTCGTCCTCCCTCTCCCTCTCCCTCTCTCTCTCAGTCTGTCAGTCTCTCTCTCTCTCTCTCTCTCTCTCTCTTACATATCATCTCTTTTCTCTCTTTGTTCGAGCGGCGATGGTGACCCTTGATCGCCGAAGACCAACAACAACCTCTATCTCCCTCTCACTCTCACTCTCACTCTCATTCTCTTCTCTCTCTCTCTCTCTCTCTTCGATCGGCGACAGTGTCTACCTCTAATTGTCGAAGACAACCTTTCCTCTCTCTCTCACTCTCCCTTTCACCCAAGCGTCGCCGTCTACCCCCACCCCTCTCTTTCTCTCAATCCTCTGTCTCTCTCACTCCTAGAACGTATCGGCGATGTTGGACAAGATATCGAAGAAGATTGAAACCCTAATGAACACAAAGAAGATCATCCAAACAACACGAAGATGATCAAGCCATTTCTGTCAGGCATTTTTTTTTTTTACTTCACTGTGTTGATTTTCTAATTTTTTTTTTGACTTCACTGTGTTGGGAAATTGATTCTATGTTTGGAAATTGATTCACTGTGTTGATTCTATGTTGAAATTGATTCTATGTTTGGAAATTAATTTTTTTTTACTTCACTATGTTGATTTTGTAGCTTGCTTCTGTGTTTGGAAATTGATTCTATGTTTTGAAATTTGATATGTTTGAAATTTGTGTGATTTTTTGGTGGATAGATTTTCTGTATTTGGAAAGGATGATGAAAACGGGAGGGAGGAAGGGAGGAAACGATTGGGTGTAGATGACTTGGCAGCTTTGGCAGCTGCCAAAGCTTGTGCCTTATTTGACACAAGTTTTGGCATTTGCCAAAGACAGCAGCTGCTAAAACTCACCATGGGAGATCCCTTTCTATAAACTGCTATCATAATTTGGCAATAACAGCTCCAATGGCACATCATTGGAGATGCTTTTACGAAAAGTTGATGAGAAGCTAAAAGGTAAAAGATACTACCCAAAAACTTTGGACCAACTCTCACATCTTGAATTGCTTAGATCTATATATATATATATATTCAAATTAGAATAAGGCTGCCAATTTTCCCAAGGCCCCAAATTTTAACTATTATTATTATTTTTATTTTTATTTTTTTTTTATCTTTGAAGACCCTACAAAATAATCTTCCTTGTCTAAAGGCCTAGGAAAAATAATAAACTCTCCTTATTCTAAGGCTTATCAAGGAAAATCCTTACCCAAATGCCTGTAAAAAAATTCATTATCCGAAGGTCATAGCAAAATAAAATCCCTTCTTATCCATAAGTCGTCCAGGACAAAAACATTTAGGGTTAATTACAAAAAAATAAATAAATAAATAAATAAATTCCAGGGTTTCGTGTATTTTTTAATTTAAACTCCAAAATTTCAATTTCAACAAATTAAACGGAGTTACGATGAAGGAGATACAAGTGTTTAAATATGTGGATATTTGAATATGAAAATTTTGCCCCAAGAGAGAAAAATCTTATTTTTGCCAACTTTCAGAGCTCCGATGGCAAGTAAAAAGATGTGGAACAAGACGTATAAAGAGTGGAATAAAAATCAGACCATGAGGTGAATCCAACAACGCAAAAATGAGGTGAAATGAAGTTACGACGAGGGAGATACAAGTGTTC